GGGCCGCGAGCCCCTCACCCCCGCCGCCATCCGCCGCCTGCTCCGCGACTCCCCGCACCTCGTCGCCAAGTACGAGGAGTTCATGCTTCGCCGCTGCCTCGCCGCCGACCCCGACTGCCGCTGGTGCCCGGCCCCCGACTGCGGGTGAGTCCCCGCGCCCCCCGGGAGGGCAAGGCCCCGGTCGGGTTGCTGCTACTGAGACACGCTTCCGCCCATCCAAAGTCCGACGAAAAGCCGTATTTGCAGGCTTTTGTTGATAGCTAGCCAGCAGCCTGGTCAGGACGGTTAGTAACTAGGCCTTTGGGACGAAAATGACATTCCCAGCAGTCGCTGCTACCTCGCTTCAGCCCCAAGGTTTGACTTTGGGGACTGTGGAAATACAGGCAAGCTAGATACTTGTAAAGGGGCTTGAAGGGCGTTTTAGCTGAGCCCTCATTTCCCTGGTAAAAGCGAGCTTTTCCTGCATGAATGGGAAGTGTGGGGTTGCCCTCTCTGCATGTATCACTGAGGACTGAAGCGGGGGGGGTGCGTAGGGACACCCTGCAGTTTCCCCGTCCGGGCAAAGAAATGTAAGCGGTCACTTTTTCCTAGTGATGATGTGAATACAGGGCACAGAGCAACGATGTTGACTCATTATCCGTTGCCTAAGTGAGGAAATGTCTGTCTGTCGAGAAGTCAGTTCCCCCCAAGTCTGATGACTCTGTAGTTATTTGTTCTTTGCTTTCATTTTCTCTTCTCTTTTCTTCTAACTGAACTCTTTTAGGTTTCTCTTTGCACATAAGCCAAAGCTGCTCGGAAAAGGGGTTTGTTCAGAACGCTTAGAAACGCACTGCAAAGTTCAGCTGGAATACAGAAAGCTTAAAATGCGGTACTGGGTAGTATGAACACTAAAGGAAAGTCTGACCTAGTAGTCAAAGTGGAAAGCATGGTGGGAGGATTGTGAAGATTTAATCAGAGCATTGTAATAGACTGCCTATGCAAATCAGTTAACCTGTCTCAGGTTACCCATTTCACAGCCCCTGAGCACTGCTGTATAAGGACTTGTTTCTTTAGAAGGCAATGTTAATAGTGAAACATGGCTATGTTAGTTTCTGAGAAAAAAATCATGTGCTAGATCTTGATGTTTTGATGGTGCTGGGGGTAAGATCGGGGAGATAGAGCAGGTTATGCTGCCCACAGAGTAATGCCAGAGGGAATGCCTCTGTTTTCTGCTCCGTTAATCAGCTAGAGAAAATCTGGTTCCTGCTTACTGAATTTCTGCTCTTTGGCTACTGTGATACTTATCTGTGTTCCGGGTAAGGTGTAAATGTTTTCTATGTAGCTGAGATTGCCTAGTTGGGAGAAGCTGGCCCCAGCATGGCTCAGAGGGCGTTGCCTCTTTGAGAGTAACCCAGCATGAATCTGATACAGCCGCTGCTTTGGCGGGTTTGGGCAGACTGGTGTCACATACAGCTCTTTGTGCAATCAAAAGCATCCTCTCTTGTTAGCCTGTTAGCAAGGCGAGCCAGTTGACATACGCAGGCATCTTCCTCCAAGCTGCACAGC